GTCTCTGTCTGTCTGTCTCCGTCTGTGTGTCTGTCTCTGTCTGTTGTCTGTCTGTCCGTTTGTGTGTCTGTCCGTCTGTGTGTTTGCCGTCTGTATGTCTGTCTGTCTGTGTGTCTGTGTGTGTGCTATTTGTCTGTGTCTGTCTGTCTGTCCTTGAAGTTAAGGGTTTGAGGCGAAGGGAGCTTGAAGGGCTGAAAAAGGGGGAGGGGAAGGGGGGCTTGAAGGGCTTCGAAGGGTGTGGGGGCGTGAAGGGCTTGGAAGGAACGAAGGGGTTTTGGCGCTCGTCTTGGTGAGGGTGAGGGACACGGTGCTGGCTATGCGGGCGGTCTTAACGAAGGCGCAGGTCATGATCAGCACGGATCTTCTCACATGCTGGGATAGCATTGGGGAAACGTGGACTCTTGCAGCATATTTCTGCTTGGAACCTGGCTTTTCGGTTCCAGTCTTGTAGCATGCGCAGTGATTGCGCAGTGACCGTGGAGTGACAGCGCAGTAACCGCGTAGAAGCCATTCATGAAAGGAGCACGGTGACCACCTGGCATTGTTCGAATCGGTTGCTGTCCAGACATGTAGCAATAAAACTTGCGGCACAATTGTTAGTCAAAGCCAACAGCACAGCTTGAGCTGCTGCAGATTCATAAACAACGACAGCAACAATGTTGTGTCGCTTAAGCTTGAAATCGATAGTTTTGGGCCACATTTTCAGCACGTTTGAATCCATGGTTTTGACCAAGAATTTTTTCTCTGTCTTGCCATTGCCACGCCGTATTACAGTTGACTTTTTGAGCCATTTGAACCCAAATCAGAAGCGCTACACTTTTCGCCATCCTATAATTTCGAAATGCTTCTCCAAAACACTATTCCACATTGAAGGATTCTGTTTGTTTGTGTTCGTTTATTTGTATCCATCTATTTGTAATTATTTGTTCGTATTTTGGGTTTGTCGGATCTATTTTTTCTATATTTTTTTTTGGGGGATTCCATTTTTTCTTTATTATGCTTACTATAAAAATAGATGAATTCTTGGTTTTCTTGATATCGTTCGAAATAGATAAATATTTTCTTGGATTAACAAAGAATCGGAATACGGAAATTGATTTGATTTCGTTATTTATGATATTATATATTTTAATACATTCTTTTATAATTTGGACTAAATATCTATGATTAATTAATTATGACAATATCTTATAGAAAAGATTAGTATGGTTCTGATAATTATCGAATTATTTTAATACCTTAGTCGAGAATATATTTCTATTCTCTTCTAATTACGATTACTAATAAATTCTGCGTCTAGAGAAATTATCGCCGAAAAAATAATTTATCTGTCTAGTATCTTAATATATATATATATAAGAAAAAGAATTTTCGACACGAAAGAGAAAAGAAATATTCTATATCGAATAAACTTTGGATCGGTGCAAATTAGAAAGAATAGATAATGGAAATCTATATATATATATATACCTCTTGAGAGTATCCGTCTATTTGCTTATTTGTCCCTGCTTTTTTCTGTCTGCCTATTCCTGTCTGCTTGTTTCTGTTTGCTTGTTTCTGTCTGCTTGTGTCTGTTTGCTTGTGTCTGTCTGCTTGTGTCTGTCTGCTTGTGTCTGTCTGTGTCTGTCTGGGTCTGTCTATCGGTCTATGGGTCTGTCGGGTTGTCGATCTCTAATTCTTTATCTATCTGTCTATCTATCTATATTTATCTCTACTGCCCCTATCTACCTAATTGATTGGATTCTCTATCTGGAAGAACTATCTATCTATTTGTCTGTTTATTGCTAAATACTTCCATGATAAAATGATTTCCTTGTCGCTTTCTCTGCTGTTGGAAGCAGCAAATATTTCAATGATAAAATGACTTATAACCTCCTTTCTTTCGGAGCTAGAATTAACGACTCCACTCTAGAATAATACTAATATTTGAAGAAGAATCGTGATACGAGATATTTATTAATATATATTATCTGTTTTAATTCAAATCAATCAGAAAATCATTTGGGAGAGGTATGGAGCCGTCCAAATAACGAAATCTCACAAATTTCCCGCCGGGGGATGGAGCGGATGGGAAATGAGGGAGGGGGAAGGATCAAATCGAATCAGAAGAGAATAAGATTGATAAATTTTTAATATATATTCATATATTAATTCTTTCTCTTAGATTCCGAAATTTATTATCATAATATTCGAATAAATATCTTTTCTATATATATATACAACTATCTTCTAATTTAATCAGATAAAATAGAATCTTTCGATTCCATCGACGATCTCTAGAAAATACACTATCATTTATATAGACGTATATATATGAAGAAATATATCCATATCTATTTGATTATATTTATCCGTCTAATTATATATTTTTCTTTTTTAATATTTATCTGCTTAGATCCATTTATATCTGACTATCTCTATCTATTTGAGCCCGTCCATCTATCTATCTATTTAATTATCTATCTATTCATCTTTCCATCCATCTATTTATTTATCCGTCCGCCAATCCGTCAATCTATTTATTTGGCGAATATCCAATTAAGATTAATTTGTCCGGTTGCTTAGTTATTCTCTATTTATTTATTTGGCTATTTATTTTCTTATTTCTTTATCTTTTTATTTATATATTTATATATTTAATTAATTATTTATCAGGATCTTAATGATTTATTTATTTAACGATTATCTTCTTTTTAGATTGTTTCTTTATTTGTCCGCTCGTCTATTTGCTCGTCTACTTATATGCTTTTTCAATTATCTATTTATTTATTTATCTAATCTTATTTTCTTATTTATCTAATCGTCTATATAGATATCTATTTATTTATATTTATTTCTTTATTTATATTTTTATCTCTATTTCTTTTGATTTTTTCTCTTATTTAAATATCTGTCTTTGCCTGTCTATTGGCCTAATTTATATATTCGTCTATCTGCCTCTACCAATACATAATTTTAGATAGATTAATAGATATTTATAAATAGATAGATAAATAGATACAGATAAATAAGCAAGCAAACAAATAGACAATTAAGCAATTAGATAGATAGATAAATAGGTAATCAACCAAATAAATAAATAAGTAGTCATATATATACACATATATATAAAGAATTATATCCATTCATATATGCAAATCTATACGGATATATCCAGACGTACAAGCACATATATATTCCTAGAGATATACACGCACTAGCACAAGAACAACAGTCACAAAGATACAAAGACAGAGAGACGCGCCCATCGATAAGCAAACAAACACGAGCTCAAAATTAAGTCCGACCATCAAGCGTAATTAAAAGGTTTCAATTAAGATCAATTCGTCGAATTTTAATAAACTTCGATTATATATATCTAATATCTTACAAAAAAATCAGCTTACCTCAATCCGAATTTTTCAAAGGTCGTATATAAAAAAATTATATAAGATTTTTAATTTATATATCATTTATTAACGAATTTAAGACCAAATTTACTACATTTATTTATATTTTTAAAATATAAAAAAATTTCATAAAAATTTTGCGCTCGAAAAATCAGAAAATGGGTTTGGAGTCCGGCGTGGTCGGGTTTAAATATTAGGTTTTAAGATTAACCCTAAATCCCAACCCTGCACCCGATCACACCGGACCCCGAAGCCAAAACCTAATAATATTAGATATAGAACAAGAAAAATCCTAGAACTTTTCGTTAAACTCTAATATTTAATATCGTAAAATAGCAAAAAAACATCAAATAACGAAAAACACCCATATAATTAAATTATAATCTATTAAAATATAGTTCAGAAAAAAAATCGATCCATATATTCAATATAATTCATATAAAATACCAAGAATAAATAGATAATTTCTATCTCGAACAAACAAATATATAAATAAATAATCATTATAAAAATATTAACCTATATATTTTTATATAGTCTGAAATTTAATAAATCAATATTTATCTAAGTCAAATTTATTTCTTAGAATAATATTTCTTTAGCTCCTATATCAAGCTTCTATGACTTTGACAAATATAAGATGTATTTTACGACATGAAATTATTCGATTAATATCAAAACCCAAATATTTCTTCATAAATATTTATTGCCCATCGATGGTTTCGGCCCGATTTCAAAAACAACCCCTCAATCGTCGTAGAAGTGGGCTTCTATTCAGCTAGGATATTACAGGTTTCTTTTGTATCTGCCTCTCGCAATGCCACTCGAGGCTATGAAGACTTCGTGCCCCCTCAAGGTAGCCATGCTTCCATGAATGGTCTCGTGCAAGGAAGAATATTGTAGGGGATCAGACAGAGCTGCGTGCATGTCATGAGCAATGGTAAAAAAGCCGTGGCTTTTCAGAGAGCTCAGTGGTTGCCAATGTGAACTTTCCAGAGCAGGTAAACCATGCTCGTCCACATTTCTTCCTCTGTGAGTGGCCGATTCCAGGTAATGACCTCCATCACACCCCAGTCCGACACCTCATTCAGACCCTCGTTGATGTACAAATTGAAGTTCTTGTGGTACTTCACGCCCGGGTGCTTTCCTTTGTTGGTCCGATCCAGGCCGCTCATGACCAAACCTTCCCGGTTGCCGCACATTACAACCCACTCAGTATCGCCGACCTCCGGGGGGTGGGGGTGTGCAGTGACCCACGTGGAGTAGTGAGCCAATCCAACACGCTTGTGATGGTGCCCGTGAAGGAAATTCGGATGAAAGTTCGAGAGAATGCGTGCCTGGTTGAACTTGTTCAGATAACGGGTCACCGAACAAATCGTAAAGTCCGGAGTCATGATCTCGCCGAAATCATAACCGCACACGGTGCTGCCGGCAAGGTAGGTCCATTTCGGCCCGGGTGTTCTCCCAAAGTAATCCTTGTGTTTCTGTTCGACCTTGACATCCGTTGTGCCCTTGGTTACACGGCCTTGCCAAGTCCCCACGGAACTCGGCCACACTCGATTGGCATTCTCGCTCTTGAACCAGGCCACCATCGCCGACTGAGCTGCAGGCTGAAGTCCAATCTGGCACGCGAGGGGAAGGGGAAGGCAAAGAGTTGGGATCCCTCAGAGAGCACAGAGCACTAATCCTATTCGTTTCACTGACGAGCAAAATACACTGAGAAAGGGTCTTTACGACTGTAAGGGGCAGTACCGTCTCCCGGCTCTAGCAGACACAAACTTGTAGAGCCCGCAACTTCACTTCAAACTACGCCGGGCCGAGGCGCACGACATGCTCTTAAACGTTAAGAAGTGCAAAGGGGATGAGACGAGCTCTTCTTGCCTTGAGTCTCCAGTTCAGGTAGTGCATGCTGTGCCAAAGCTCCGGTTCAGTGAGTGACCGCCTCCATGTGATCAACTCCATCGCCCCAAAATCTGAGACCTCGTTCAAGTACCCCTCATTGATGTAGACGTTAAAATTCTTGTGATATGTCCCGCCTTCCTGCGCTGCGATGTTTTTCCTCTCCGTGCCCCTCATGACAATTCCTGCCCGGCTGAAACACATCACAAGCCATTTCTGACGCTCGGTCGGGTCGGTGATGGCCACGTTTTCGTTCGTCACCCACTTTGAGGAGTAGGCGATGCCAGCACGTGAAGCATGGTGCCCGTGAAGGAAATTCGGATTATTGTTCGTGAGAATGCGCTGCTGGTCTCCGTGAAAATCGCTTGTGTACCGGGTGATGGAACAGATGGTGTAGTCCTGACCTGTCATGATCTCGCCGAAATCATAGCCTGACTCGATCATTCCATCTAAGAACCTGACAGGATTCCTGGCTCCCTCTCCAAGATGGAAGAGGCACTGAACATCGCCCTTGGTCAAGCGACCTTTCCAAGCACCGACGGAACTCTTCCAAGCTTTTGCGCAGTCCTCGCTTCTGTACCAGGCCACAATGTCGGGACGCGCTGCGGGTAGAGGTGCTGCTGCTGCAGCCTGGTTTTGGATTTAGGGAAGGGGGCCCCATCAGCATCAAGAGGTCGAAGAGGAGACCGAGGCTTCAACGAGACGGCTACGAGCACTATCGGATCCACGCAGTCGGGGGCTTTCCTCTATGATAAGCCGCCTTGGAGCCCGAAACTTCAAATTTCGCAGAGGATACCTGACGGTTTCGACCCTCCCCTCTTCCCCCTGTTCTCACCCAGGGGCTGCGACACCCATGAATTCTTGGGCTTCTCCTTGCACAGGAATGACGTCGCCAGCTCCATCTACCTCCACCTGAACATCTGGGCCTTAGCTGGCGCGAATGGTTAGGTCGGAATCACGGTCTCTTTGGGCGCCCTTAGTGTGCTCAGTTACTAAGATATTATATATTTGTGAGCAAGGATACCAGAAAGGGATCCCTCAAAGCGGCTTCAACAAGCAGAATACATGGGGTTTGTGTGTGTGGGGGTTTGCTTTTACTGCATCTACAGGCCTGAAACAAAGGCATTATGGCTTCTTATTAAGACCCTAAGCTAGTGAAGAGAAAGCTCCAAATGTAGTGAGACAAGGCTCTGCCGGCTCCTTCGCTTGACAGGCTCTGCTGCGAGGCATTCGGTTCCTGTCTGAGAAGTCCCGGGCACCCTAAACCCTAAACCCTCAATAGCAGTAAGCTTCAGGTTGTAAGTTCCAAGTTGGAGGTCTTGTGGATAAAGGGCTTTAGGGCTTAGTGTGTACAGGCGCGGAGTTGAGGGTGCCTAGAACGAAGCCTCTTGCCTAATGCTACGACAGAACAGAAGGACACCAAGGCACACATGCTTCTTGCGGAATTGGCCTTATCTCCGCCGACGCAAGGGGGCAGGAAAGTGCGGCTTTCAGGAGCCCATTTTGCAGCAGCATGACTGCAGCGGCAGATCGCGTGCGGCTACAGGTAGATCTCATGTGTTGCCGAGGCAAAGGACCCTAAACCCTAAACACTAGACCCCGAAACAACCTGGGGACCGCTAAAAACCCTAAACCCTGGCCTGCATCTGATTTGCCCAGTCTGGGTCTGGAGTCATCTCCTTGCCGAACATCCTGACAAGTGTACAACCCCGGGTTCCAGCGGTTCTTTTGTAACGGTTTAGGGCTGTAGGGCTTTAGGGCTTTAAGGTTTTGGGGTT